GGAGGAAGAGGAAGAAGAAGAGGAGGAGGAGGAGGAGGAAGAAGAAGAAGAAGAAGAAGAAGAAGAAGAAGAAGAAGAAGAAGAAGAAGAAGAAGAAGAAGAAGATAATGACGACAACGACGAAGGCGGCGAAGACGAATCCAAACATGAAGAAGACCTTGTCCATGGAGAAGGGAGAAGGCGATCAAGCAGGTCTTGAAGGATGGTGCTAGCCAGTAAGCCATGATGACGAGACGGCAGGAAGACAGGCACAGAAAGACTGATGAGACATCACGATGACAGTGACGAACCCGCCCACACACCATGGCCGTTTTGCTGGGGCATTCAAATACGAATGCCCCAGCAGAACAGGCATGGGGCCTGGGCAGATATCACGCGGAACTCTGCATTCCATTGTTGATGAAGATCAACGGCTGAGATTGCAAAAACAAAAAAAGTGAAAACAAGGCCTACCCACCGCCAAAACCAAAAAAAACAAGTCGTCGTGGGGCTTAGACGAACCGGCAGAGGCGAGACATCGCATTGCCATCCCTCGCCCCAGGCCTAGGCACCAGGCGGGCACAGGGTCCCGGCTACGCAGCCCTGTGAGTATCCCGGCAGGTATCCAGGCCCCGTGTGCCCCCCCAAAAGAGCCTGGTTGCAGGATTCTTAACAACGTTTCCACATTCCGCAAGCGACTTGAGCAAGCTAGAGAGCTAGTCTGTGTCCTAAGCTGCAGTTCTGCAATTGCAGAAACCCGACATAGCAAAGGGAAGCCAGTGAAGGCAGCTCAGGAAAGCTGGGCAGCAAACCCAGCAAACACTGTTTTCTGTCACAGAACCACCTGCCGATTTGAAATCATTGATGTCCAAAGAAAGAAATGTTTGTGGCAAGATTCAGACAGGACTTAGGGTTTGGTAACAAGCTGCAAGCCACAAGAGCAGTTTGGATAAGATACCTGCAGGGAAAGCCGGTACGTAAAGCGCAGGGAAGACCAATATGTAAAGTTAAGAGGTTGGGCCCTGTAACCTCACAGTGGGCCATTTGGATCCGCAAACGTGCAATACACATCCCAACAACTTAGGAGGATCAGACAAGATCAACATTTCTATGGAGCCCCAGGTTGATCTCATGAAGAGTCACTTCACTTTGTTTGCAAGTTCTCATTCAATTATCCCCACCTCTTGCTTTTTGTTTTCTTCTTCTGATCACGCCAAGAGTTGGGAACAACCACCGCAAAACCCAATTCTTCCTCTCTCTGCCTCTCAWAG